CAGGAAGATCATTTCCTTTAACGATGATTCTAGGGGCAAGTGGACTCTCAATTATGAAGGCCCGTATGTTGTCAAGAAAGCCTTCTCTGGAGGTGCACTGATTCTTGAAACTATGGATGGCGAGGAGTTCCCACGTCCTTTGAATGCTGATGCAGTCAAGAAATACTTCGCCTAAATAAATAAAAGAACAGCTCGCTAAGTTGAAAACTCGAAAGGGTGACTTAGGCAAAAATGAGCGTCTCGGTAGGCTGAAAACCCGAAAGGACAGTCTAGGAAAAAATTAGAGACACAAACAGAATAAACCTTCCCGGTAGGTTGAAAACCTGTAAGGGCAACCTAGGAAAAAGTTAGGGATTTCATAGCAAATAACTACGTCAGGCAAGACTTGATCGTTGAAGCAACAATCTTCTCAGATTCTCATCACACTTCAACTGAAGTCTTTTCTCACGAGTTCAAAGTTTTTAGGGAGAATAGTGGTCATTGTATTCCAATGTATGTTTTCCATATATTTACCATTTTCCAAACTTTGTAATCATCTATGGAGTCTCGCAATTTGTAGAATACCATTCTATTAATAAAGTTTGATCCTTTATCCAATTCTTTGTAGTTCTTACTTTATTCTGTTCGCAAAAATTTCATTTATTATCGATAGAAATTTTCAAAATAAAAAGACTTAATAGTAAAAAAATGTTTTGAAAAGAATTTACGAATTACCTTTTACTTCAGATGTTGTGATTCAAGTGGAACAAAAGTAGTGATTCCAAGGATGTACGAACTCCTAAGTTTTGAAAAGTTCCCTGGTTGCACTTATTGATATGTGTGTATTCCATTTAGGATATTGCTTCTTGGGATAGATGAATCTCATACAAGCTGATGCATGGTGTGGCATCTGGGCCTGTGTTCGCATATTTCCCCAACAAAGTTTTGCTTTAGTTTGTCTTCAAGTAGCTACTTGATGTTGGGTTGATGTTCCCATCCTCCCTAGTCAGGTCCTGATTCAGATTCCTCCGACTGAGAAATCGTACGCCCTACAGTTATGATATTGTTGTTGTTGTGTGCTTCTAAACAAGCAGACAAGGGCAATATACATTCTAAGAAGTTTTGAGATAAGCGTCTACTCCTTGGGTTTTCTCTCACTTTGCACTGAGTTTGATTTAAAATCCCCATGAGTTGGCCTATTACGGAGTTGTCGACTTCTTAATTCTCTGGATGAGTCGAGGGTGATGCTTCCCTCTAAAGCTGTTATCCCATGGAATTTCATGATTTTTCTCCAAAGAAGTTTACACAATTATTATGCTTGATATTGAAGATTGTATTTGGTTTCTCTTCGGTTCGGTTTTGTTTTCCCCAATGAAGTTAGCATAACAATCCCCAGTTGAAGTATCAACGATGCAGTTTTTCATCTTCCCTGGTGAGGTCTGTATTGACATCCCCGATTGAGGTCTCGATGATATGGTTTTCACTTTCCCTAATGAGGTTTGTATCATAATCTCCAGTGAAGTCTAGACGGCGAAGATTTCTCTTCCCTTATCAAAGTCCACATTTATATTCCCCGGTGAAACCTAGAGGAGTATGTGATATTCCCGCAACTTTACTTGTTGCTAGTCACGTGGTTCTTTGATTGTTTTCAAGACATGTTCTTCCCAGCGAAGTTAAGCCGTGAAATAGGACTTTGTTTCCTCAATTGATGCTTATTCTCTTGTGGAACCGTCATTCTGGATGTGATTTGGCCAGATGTTGTCTTCACCCAAGTTAGATTTGTCTGGTTATCCCCCAATGTAGCATGATTATTTTGTCAACATACACACGATAACATTCATGCCTTCACATACATCATGCATAGATGAATTTAAAATTCATTACTCATTTGCATTCATTAATGCTTTGTTTGCATATTATTCTCCTTGCAGAGTTATGTTACCCTCTTTCCAATAGAGTTGTCAACTTTGAACAGAAAGTGTATATCCTTTCAATATCCCCACGGAGTTATCCCTCGGGGAAGAATTTTGCTTCAGCCTTCCTATTCAGTTCATTATATGGATAGAGTGTGATCCCCTTTTGAGTTTATTTCTCATCAGGTGCTGTCTTGGTTGATTATTTCATTCCAATTTATTTCTGGTTTGAATCTGTAGTCCCTGACAATATTATTATTCTGACTTCTGCAAGCTTCGAGCCTTGATTTGAGGATGTGCATTTATTTTGCACACAAAGACTTGTTCTCCTCAACAGAAATGTATTTGTATTTCCCCAGGAAATCAAGCTTCATTTCTCGCCAGTCTTATTACAATTCCTTCTTAAACAGCAAGTGATAGGTCTCTTTATTTGAGCAACCTGTTCTTTCCCAGTAAGTCCGTTAATGCCGGAGAAGATATTTTTTTTTCAATGAATGGTAATCTTGTTGTTATTGAAGATAGTTCGTTGATGAAGATTGTTTTTTCCAGTGAATGGTGGCCTCGTCATTAAGGGAGGTAGTTCGTTGTTGAGATTTATATTCCAATGAATGGTAGTCTCATCATTATGGGAGATAGTTTGTTGATGAAAATTTGTTACTCCAATTAATGGTAGTCTCGTCATTATGGGAGATAGTTCGTTGTTGAGTTTGGATGTACTTCAGTGGTCAAGATGGTTCGTCGAAAGATTCTTACAACAATATTTCTACCCTTTCCAGGTGAAATATCTTGGTTAAAGAAGAAACTGAGACCAGTTTGTGGCTTATAGTCAGGATCAAGGGGAAGTTTATCTGATTCTTCATCAAATGGTATCTCTTCGAGGAAGTTTCGCAAGAGAAGTTTGTTGTTAAATATTTACAAGTGGTTGTCTCTTTATTTTAGATAGCTTGTATTTTTACCCTTTCCAGGTGAAATATCTTGGTTAAAGAAGAAACTGAGACCAGTTCGTGGCTTATAGTCAGGATCAAGGGGAAGTTTATTTGATTCTCCATCAAGTGGTATCTCTTCTAGAAAGTTTCACAAGAGAAGTTTGTTGAGAAATCTTTACAATTGGTAGTCTCTTTATTTGAGATAACTCGTATTTCTGTTCGTTCTAAGTAGAACGCCAGAATTTTGGGAAGTTCGTTATTGTTCTTTGAGACATCACCTTCGGTAAAAGCTGGTGTATTCTCTTTTCTCCCCACCTTCGGTAAACGTCGATGTACCTTCTGTTTATTTACCTTCAATAAGAGTTAGTATTGTCTTATGTTTTTCTACCTTCATTCCTTAGTGGGTAGTTCATTACCGTTTTTAGGCAAGATTGATCTCTTCCTCCTCGTTGGACCTTACTCCGATTGAGTTGAGTTGTCTCCAGCCATAAGTGATAATGCCAAATCTTTGATTACCAGGCATAAGCACTGATACCAAGTGTTCACTTACTAATTTAGGTGTTGATGGTTATTGTTGTCTTTGAGCCAGTATTCTCTTCATTATTCCTGTTTTCGCTTTTCTGTTTAGCAGTTGCTGATCTTCTATGTTGATGTTACTCTCTTTTTGCTATCATCCTCTATGAGTAGATAGTTCACAGTTCTCAGTTAACCATTATTATCCTCATTTTATTGACCTGGTTCCTTCTCGGGACTTTTACCCTAGTAAAGTTGGGTCTTCTTTTCCCCAACGGAGTCAATTTGTCCCCAATAGATTCAAATTTCTATTCCTGGAGTTGTTTTGTTCTCCAGAGATTTATCATCCTGGTTGAATTCTTTTTGTTAATTTTTTGATTTTACTTTTGCTTCTCCAGTGTGTGTCATGCCCATCTGCATGAAGTTTATATGTTACATCCATAATCATAAGCATCGCATGGCATCTTAGGGCCAAAAATAGGGCTTGTTTTATATTTAAGTATCTTCAATCGCGTCGAAACGAAGATTTTAATCTTCGCATCTCAGGATAGAAGACGCTTAAATAAGGGCAGCTGTTATACCCCAATTTTTGCCCCTAAGATCCCTCATCATACTCTATACATCTCACACATAACATTGGTCCCATGGTTACAGGATCGAAGAGCTTTGGCATTAGGGTTTCTCCTAAGTGCTTTCTCCAATAGACATTCTTTTTAAGAAGTTTAGAGGACCGAATCAAGGGCTTATTTCTTGTGATGCTATTCGTTACATGGTTAAGGATTGATTAAAGATTTTGTCAAGACAATTCTTGATGCTCAAGCTGTGAATCAAAGTAGGTTTGCTTCTTGGGATTTGATTAAATAGAAGATTTGGATTGATTTTTTGTTGGAGGCGATTTGAGGATTCGTTCAAGAAATGTCTCTAGGCCCAGATTAATTCAAGAGAATTCGTATAATGGTTGGTATGGAATTCAAAGTTGATGATTTGAATATCATTCAATGTCAGTAAGAATTCAAGCCCGTTCTATGAGAATTCCCTTTTAAGGAGAATTATTTGAGGTTTAGGACACTTATCATCCATTCCAATTCCATTCAAATTCCCTTCAAGTGATTATCTTGGCGCAATTTTTCGGGTGGATTTATATTTCAAAGATGGAAAACTTGTTCAAGACTCAATTCAAACATCACACCGTGTGTTATACGGACCTAGTAAAAACATCGTATTGGAAGTTGATGAGAAAGATGATGATATCAATTTTGGTATTTCAACAAACAAGTTCTCTAGTATTATGAATGTTATTCTTCAGAAGTTATGTTCTGTTCTCAGACTACTCAAGAATTTGTTGTTAGTAGAGAAGTTGTCAGATAGTTGCATTTTATAATTTGTAAAAAAGGGAGTATTGCAGTATTCTTGGTTGATAACATCCAGCTCTTGCAATTGAAGGCAATTGGTTTACTCAGTGCGATATTATACTTATACACACGATATCACACTTATGTGTTAGATAAAATGCTGATACAATTCCATGTTACAAATTGCAAAATTCAATACAAGTTAATAAAGCTATCAAAGTTGGGAAATTCATTATATTCTTAATCACTACGTCATGTTACAGTATTGAATCAAAAACAAAGCTATAAGAGAAGAATGTAGCCTTGCGATATCAAGGCTAGCTTTCAACGTAGTTCCATCTGCTCGATATCAGACCCGGCTGTAAAAAACTGCATTGCAAACACGAATCTAGCGCAAAGATGATCGTGCCCTGCTGCAACCTTTTCAAACCATATGCAGACCTGCATTAGTGTGAAATCAGTGCAGGAAATTCAAAAAAAGTAACAGTTTAGGAATTAAACTCAAAAGAAAATTAAAGTACTGCCATTTTTTTCTCTAAGACTGTCCTACATCTGCATCAGAGTTCTTGCAATATCGTAATCCTCTTCTCTTTCAATTCTGTTGTAGGATTCATTGTTGTTCGCCGTGTTCTTCAAGATCTGAATTACGCTCAATCTATTTGTGATGTCGGTGATGCACTAAAGTTGTAGGTCGAATTCGATGCATTAACTGGAAGCAAGATTTCCACTCTTGACATTGGTGTGCCTGATGTTTGAATGACTTACAGTCCAACAAGTGGACAAACTGTGATTGCAATCCTCCATAGAAGTTCATATGGCTTTACCTCCACTCCAACATGAAATATATGGGCTGCATTAAAAAAATCAGGGAGGGTGAAACTCAAAATTAAATCAGAAATAAGTATAACAAGTTTAACTGATTTTTAAACCGAATTCCTAACTGTCATAACAGAAATCTATTGCAGCTGCTGATCCAAATCTCTAACTTCCATAACAACCATACCTAATATTATATGAGATGAGTCTCATCCATTGGATCCAATAACCGAAAATCAAAATCAAAGGTTGAGTTCAATTCTCATATAATAGAATTTCTACTGCTTTATGACAGGGGCATAACAAAATGAAAAAAGGGGGGATTAAGAAGAAAAAAAGAAAAAAGTCAAAAAAGGAACTCACCTCTGAATTCTCTGTAATTCGGGGAGAAGACCTGAGATTTTCACTTTCAACCTCCATTCTCTCTACTTTCTTTCAACCTCCATTCTCTCTCATTTCATCCTGAACCTTCATTCAATCTCTACATCTTCAACCTGCTTCATCACCTTCATCATTCTCTGCGCCCTCAACAACACCTTCAACACCAGTATCAACCTGCATTCATATTCAACCTTCGTTTAACCTCATCTTCATCGTTCTTCACCATTGGAGGGAAATCATTCCTCTCTTTCTCTGAAAACATCTTCACTTTCATCGTCTTCAATCCTCTCCCCTACAAAACATCATTATCACTGCATCAATCTCTGCTTCATCATCGCAAATGCGTTCAAAGCTGTGACTGATTCAACATCAATGAATTGATATCAGCACCAAGATTCTACTTCCATGAAGAATATCGCATAACAGTATGTTTCAGCCTATGTGTCAACACCACGTCATCACCATAATAAAACATAACGATTCAGAGAAAGAGGAAGAGGATTCAAAGTCAGAAGAAGGAGGATTGAAGCGAAATTGCATACCTGATTCCTTTTGCGGATCTTTCTTTAGATTTGTCGACATCGGCATCACCGTTGAAGGAGCATCGGACTTCTCTCCGGTAGGTAATCCGTAAATTCCTCCAATCTATAATTTATTCCCTTTTTTGGCACCATCTAAATGGATTTAAGTAGGAAGATCCAACCGCGAGCTCGTTTGCAATTTGCGTTCTTCATGCGGTTTAGTAATAATTGATGTTGAGCGATGGTGAGATGATGAAGACGAACGACACGTGGAAGGATAAAAGACTGGGATCCATAAAGTTGTACTCGGACAAAACTTGAGTGAGGTATTGAAACGGAAACATATATGATGACGAAGAGTCAAGTACGATCGAGGCGGAGTCGGAACAAAATTGGTTGTGGTGTCTCCAGAAGAAGCCGTTGGATTGGTGGTGAATTCACGACGGTGATTCACGAAGAAGATGATGAGCCATCACGGGCCACTAGTGAGAAGAAATAGTTGTGGTTTTCACAGGGAAGCTGAAAAGGCCATGCTATAACCCTAATTCATTCTCAATTTTTCTATTGTCGTTTTTTTTTACACAGGTTCATATGGTAAATAATTGGTTTGGTTTGGACGAAGATGGGAGTCTATTGGGACGAACCTCTTGTTTAGCCCATTGTTTCATTTTATTACTTACAAAAAAACATGTTATAGTATACATCTTGTTGGATTCAGCCTTGGGCCTTGGCGCCTAAAGCTTTTTACTGAACCCACACTCCGCGTTTCAAGCATATACCCCTTGGCTCTTTTTAACTCTTGGGTCTCTTAAATTTTTTTTTTTTTAGTTTAGCTTGAATTTCTTTTTTTTTTATAATAAAAACAATAAATAAACTACATATGATAAAGCAATAAAAAAGTATAGAGTTTGGGATTGCCTCTTATTTTTTTTAGGATAGTAAATCACAAAAACCAATAAAAATTGGTTAGATTTCTCATTTGATTTTTAGAAAATTAATCCCTAATTTTTTATTACTTGAAACTTGTGAATCACCTTTGCTTGTTGAGTTGAGTCTTATGCAGGTTCATTATTTGATATGCGGATGTGTTTGGATTTTAATTGTGATTTATTTTCACATCAATGAAGCTTCGACACCTATTCTGAGCATTCAATCTCTGACTGTTTGTTTATTGATGTCAGCTCACGCGAAGTATTCCGGGTTTCTTTCCTTTGGTTGCGCTTTTTGCGGACTTTATTGTTCGTTTGTTATTATACTGCTTCCAATTTATTTTTATGCGCATTTATCGCTTTCTAGATATCATGAGAAGTAGGAAATAAAGAGTACGCGCTCGAAGTCGTTGTTTAAAGACCTGTAGCAGGCATTATGCACTTCATTTCTTATATGTGTTGTGCTTGTGTTTGTTTCCTTTCTTGTTGATTGATGAGTCACTCAATTTAGAAATTGAGATCACGACTTCACTCTCAGTGCATGCTCCCTATAGGACTTTATCGCTTTCCTTTATTTCTTGTTGATCGGTGAGTCTCAATTTAGACATTGAGATCACGACTTCGCTCTCATTGTATGTTCCCTATATGACAGTTTGTTAGACTTTCTTTGGCATACTAACTAGGTAGGTTCCCTCTTTATATGATAACATTAGGTTAGGTTTAGGTTAGTCTCCCTTTTAGACTTTTCTTTCCCTTTTTGCATTTGCATTAAAACTAAAACTTCTTTTTCTTGGCAAAAGTACAAAAAATGCTAAACATACAAAAATTCTTTTCATGGTAAAAAATACCAACCAATCTATTTATTTTTGCCATTCGGCTTTTCTCTTCTAAGAGCATGTTAGCTCCTTTCCGCTACAGGTCGTAAGTCTCCAAAGATCGAGCAACGGTGGAATAATCAAATGCAACATTGTTCATTTAAAAAATACAAACAAACAAAATATATGAGTCGAACTACGGCGCTCTGATTCCTTAAAGGGGATACGTAGGCATCTGGTCACGGGGCTCAGCCGAGCGAAAATTTGTAAATACTTCCTTCTTTTCCTCATGTTTTCTTTGCATGCATTCCCTCTTAGTTTATAACTCTTAAGTATTAGATTGAATACACCCTTTGATTAGAATAACGAGAGTGGATCCCGTAGAGTACTATAGACGTCTGGGGTGCTAATACCTTCCCCTCGCGTAATCGACTCCCTTACCCAATCTCTTGGTCGCAAGACCTTGATTTCCCCTTTAGGTTTTTATTTGATAATTTTCCTTTCCCTTTTATATGGGATAAATAAATACTCAGTGGCGACTTCATTGATTTTACCGTTACACCTGGAACGTCTTATCAGTAGATGGTTCCCATTTACCAGTTGAATGGTTCCCATTTATCAGCAAGAATGAAAGAAGCCTGGAGAATGGTTTTGTTCCCCTTCTTAGTGCTTTTATTCTCATTTGTTTCCACACTTGTTTGAGCTTCAGTGGGTTAGGCTTCGTACCTTAGTACCGTCTACAAATCCCTTCCCAAATTTTGTTATCAACGCCATATATGGTTACCACGCTAGGGCACCCGATTATTCAATCAGGCGCACTCTCTATAACTTTGGGCCACATGATCTTCTCTTCAGGAGTCAGTGTTTTCCCCAAGTGAGTGCATGGGTCAAAGATTTTAAGCAAAGATATAAGAAGCCTAAGAATTATATTGATACCATCTCAATTCCTTGCATCCGGGAAATTCCTCGTCTATTGGGAATTCAGTTGATTAAGCTTCGTGCTTTAGAGACTATTCAGTTGATTATTCTCTCTCCCGATGAAAATGCTAGGTATGTCTCTCATTTTGGGGAATTTGGCCGTTATGTTTAAGATTTCAAGAGGTTTAACCAAAGTCTATCTCATGCCTGGCGTTTTTCTCAATGTCCAACTTCTAATGTGGCGGACAATTTCGAACTTTTCGCTTGGTACAACATTTACCTTTTATTTTAATAGAATCTTCGTTGAGTATATTCTAGAGCACTCGGTTATTCAGTTGAAGATGGTTTGTCATCCAAAGATAAATTCCAAGCTTGGATCAATTCAGAGACTATTGTGTCCACATCAGCCGGAAATCTCTTATCCAAGTGAGCCTCGAGGTTGTTGAAGATCGTTTGAAGCAATCAGTCCATACGGAGACTAGTCTCCTCAACCATGGATATTTCAAATTTCATTTTCATTCTCATTTGTAATCTTAATTGTTTTGTTAAGTACTTTCTTGTATGCAAAATTACTCATCTTTTTTAATACTAAATCATAATGCATTGAATATGTTTGTCTTGAATTAATATATTCGTTATCACTCTTAATTATTTTACTATGTTTTTGATATTTAACTCTTGTTAATAAAGCAGTAACTCTGGAGGGAGGATGACAAAAATTTACCTGGAATCACAAATGGTATACTTTCGAGTAAAAACCTTGCTGACAATGTACATGCCTTGTTTCAATCCCCAAACACCAGAGATATAAGGGATATATACCCTCTTTAACCCCTTTGATCCTTTGAAGTAGGAGTTTCTTTTCTGTAAAAAAAACCCTTATTTTTAACCAAGGGAAGGGTAGATGTTTAGTTAATCTGATCGAGCATTAAAATTTCAGAAAGAGTGTCCTATCTGAGGATCACCACACTTTATCCCTTGCATTATGAGGACAGGAAAATATCAAAACCACAATGGTTATTTCCTCACAGAAATCATGAGGTCGAGATCTAATTGATACAACAATGGTTATCCCTTGCCGATCAAGGAATGAGGTCGTCACTTTCCTCCAAAAAGTTCAAAGACTTAGGGTCACATGGCTTGTTCAAAAAGTAAATATGAATAATAAAGAAACAAAAAAATCCCCTCTAAGTCGAAACTTGAAAACAAGTCGCTTAGGAAAAAATTAGGGCATCCCGCTGGACTTCCAAATTGATATTCAAAATAATTTGTCCAGGAAAAAGTTAGGGAAATTGAAAAGGAGTTTGAAAAGACCAAAGGGAAGAAAAGGATTACTCAATAAAAATCCTCATCAAAATAAAAGTGGTGTGATCGAACACCCAAAAACTAAAGGTTAAGTGATTGTTGTGTCCAAGAAATAATTGTGTTTCCTCAACCATTATAAACTCTTTTGGGAGATGAGTGCTCGTATCGAGTTAACTGAATGTAAGACTAGAGAACATCATGGAGAATGGGTGGGCACCAAATAATTTTAAGCCTTAAAAACCTTTTTTTCTCTAAAAACCATGAGCCATGCCACGTTACAACCCTTAAGAGTCCTAATTGAAGCATGGGTTAATTCGAAAGCAAACCTGTTACAAGTGTACGGTAACCTGACTCCTAGGAGACTTGATAAAACTTTTGAGTTGGTATCACTCCCTCTTTTACTTTCTTTGTATTGAAAATTTTGATGTTTCGACATCTTTTCAAATAAAAGTTTTCTAACTTCAAGGCAAGTATATGATTTGCATTAGAATTATAATTCATAGGATAAAAAATTATTTGCATATGAAAAAGTGCTTAAACATCAAGTGAGCTTTCATAATGAGCATCAGATGAAGAGTTTGATTACCACGAGGGACTAAATGCTTCAGGAATATGTTGAAAAGAATGATCTTAATCTGGGGCATGC